AATCAAAAAAAAAAAAAAAAGGCAGAGAAAGCAAAGGTAGAGGCCAGACCATCAGCTGAATGAGAAACAGAAAAAGTTGACTTAAGTCTTTAAAGGGCTTAGCATCAGTGGTCCCGTGACATGCTCAAAGTCCAGAGTTCCTTAGTTAGAATCCTGGTACCAAAAAAAAAAAAAAAATAACAAAGGCAGAGACAGAGACAGAAACAGAGACAGACAGACAGACAGATTCTGAGCCCCAAGTAAGAGAGAATAAGCCAAAGGCCCCTGGAGGGACACAACAAGCCAAACACTCTCTGAAGACACCAGGGTCTCCAGCCTGGTGAGTGGAGCTGTTCCGGTAGCGGCAGTGGGGTTGGAGCTGTGGATAAAGCATCTATGGGTTGGCAGAGCACTCCATCCAACTGCAGGCACCCAGCTCCAAAGAAATGAACAAGAGAGCCCTGAAGGGAAGGGGGGGCCCTCTGCCCACCGTGCCTCAGAGTTCAGCCAGGGACCATCACTCCTGCGCTGGACAGAGGCCCCCAGGGCTCCAAGTACCAGTACCTGGGGGCTCGGCTGCGTGGGCTCCACGGAGGGCTGCAGAACTGCTGGCTGCGAGGGCCCAGTCAGCTGAGTGGTGGGCACCGTTGTCGCTGCATTTGTCTGTGTGGGACAAATCATCACAGGAGGGTGTGAGGGGCTCTTCCCTGGGGACCTGCGCTGGCCTCCTCTGCAGCTTCCCAGAATAGGCCCTGGGCTCCAGACAATGCCTCTCCTAACCTAGTCCCCTGGCCAGTCCCATGGGGTCCCCAGCACTCCAGCACAGCCCTGCCCTCCTCAGGGAGGGGACCAAGTCCCAGGCCCCAGGGGACAATTACAGAGAGCCTCAGTGACATGGCACAAACCCCCCAGCCCTAGTTGGCATCCTTCTAAGGACCACTGGACATCACCCAGAGGGCCCAGGCCTGGGGGCACAGCTCACTGACCTCTGAGAAGGGGTTGAACTCGGCCAGGCCACTCTGCGGGTGGTTGGTCAGCTGGGTCACAGAGGGGTCCTGCAAAGGTGGAAAAGAGCTGTGAGACCGTGGACAGCTGCAACCTCATCACCCTTGTACAGTGGGCCTGAGGCCTGGAAGCTGGCAGAGTGGCTCTGCCAGCACCCCACAGAGTCAGGGGGCTCACGGCTTCATTCCCAGGGAGCATGGGTTTTGAGGGAGTGGGGTGTATGGGGTGGCAGAGATAGAAACTTCCTGTCACTCTATAATCTCTGTACTGCTTTATTTATTATGCTACAGAAAGCATTTTTCCTTTTTTTTTGGTATGGGAATCGAACTCAGGGACTCACACTTGCCAGGCGGAAGCTGTGCCACTGAGCTACATTCCTGGCCCTCCTTCTTATTTTTTAAAGAACAGTTTAAGGACTTGGAACAAAACACGCTGCTGGCTGCCAGTGTGATGTATTAAACCAGGCACACGCAATGGAGGAGAGATGAAGGGCTCACAGGAAGAGCCAGAGAAATGTTTTGTGTTGGGGTTTTTTTGAGGATTCTTTTAAAAAATGCAAAAATGTCCTTAGTTTGCTTGGTTGCCTTTCTTCCTTCTTTCCTCTTTCCTTCCTTCCTTCCTTCCTGCTCCCCACCCTTTGGTTCTTTCTGGCAGTACTGGGGCTGGAAACCAGATCCTTTGGGCTGAGCTACAACCCCAGCCCTATTTTTCATTTGGAGAAAGGGTCTCACTAACTTACCTAGGCTGGGCTTGAACTTAGGATTCTCCTGCCTCAGCTTCCCAGACTCCTGGGATTACAGGTGTGCATCACACATGCCCAGCTCTTGTCCCAAATATTCAATCCTTCCTCTCCATGGTCCCCGGCCCAGGGCTCCCCCAGCCTCTTCTGCAGTCTGTCCTGCTCCTCTCATCCCCTTCCTCACCCACAGGGGTAGGGTTCAAATCCTGCTCCATAGCCGTGTCAGGGCTCTGGAAGGAGTAGCTATGAAGGGGGGCAGGGGTGCCACCAGTCTGTCCCTCACTTCCAGCCCTCACTATTCAACAGGCCACGGTGGCACACACCTGTAATCCCAGCACTCTAGGAGGCTGAGGCAGGAGGGTCACAAATTCCAGCCCAGCCTGGGCAACTTAAAATTCATAAACGCTAGGGGTCAGGGATTTAGCTCAGTGGCACCATGCCAGCCTCGCAAGCAGAAGGTCCTGAGTTCCATCCCTGGTACTGGAAAAAAAAAATAATGCTGCAAAATTCATAAACACAACGTCAGTGCTTCAAGAGTGGGTGGTCAAGGTGTCCACTGTCACCGCTCCTACTCAGCACGAGACCCAAAAGAACTCCACCACAGACTCCTTGAACTAATTACCAAATTCAGCAAAGCAGCACGATACAAAACACAGAAATCACCAGGGTTCCTGTATATGAAAAATGAACCCACTGAGAAAGAAATCTGGAAAACAATAACATTCAAAATTGCTTCAAAAAAATTAAATACAGTACAGTAAGTCCCCAACTTACAAACATTCCCATTGCAAACTTTTACAGATGTACTGTATAAGATTTACCTTGTCAGAGATTATGAATGAATCTGACTTATGAACGTTCTCCTGGAATGGAATTCGTTTGTAAGTTGGGGACTTACTGTATCTGGGAATTAACCTAATCAAGGAAGTGAAAGACCTCTACGATGGCAACTGTAGAACTCTGAAAAAAAACAAAAGAGGTGGAAAAGGATGTCAGAAAAAGGAAAGACATCCCGTTACTGAAAAGGCAGAACCAATGCTGTCAAAATGGCCATAACACCAAAAATGATATATAGATATAATGCAATTCCAATCAAAATACCAGGATTATTTACAGAACTAGAAGGGGAGGTGGTCTTGACCAGACAACTGAACTCACTCCAAGTCTCTGGACAGGGTGGTTCCTCTGCAGCCCCAATCCCCACCCCTGCCTCTCTCCTGGGTATCACTCTTTCTTGGTAGCTCCTACAGTGGGGATAAAGGGACAGGGTGGGATTCAGGAGACCATGTGAAGCTTGCCCCAAGTCAGTTCACGGCTGACCAATGGCAGTTTCCTCTATGCAGGGAAGACCTGGGGCTCAGTATTTGTCCCCTCTCAGACTTGGTATCATCTTGCCAGGTGGAGAAAGTGAGCTGCCATCGCCGAAACCACACCCACTTGCCAGGGACCTGGTGACTTAAGTTTGAGTCACTGCAGGTCGAGGAACCCAAGGGCAGCTCTGGTGGCAGTTTCAGGTGCTGGCACCCAGATACCTGGCCAAGGTGCACACCTGCAGGCTGCTGGTGAGACATCTTTCCTTCACAGCAGCCAGCAAGGGGATTCTGAGGTTAGGGTGAAGATGAGGGGGTGACTGTCTTGTGCATGTGGATGCCCCCTCCTTTTCTTTGGTAAAGTCTTAAAGGCTTGTCCCTTGGCCCTCACCAGCCCCATCCCAAACATGTCCAGTCCCCACTCAGCCTGGGGACCTCTGCAGCCAGAGTATTGGGTCTAGGCCATCCTCTGGCCCCTGAGGACATCCTCTGGCCCCTGGGGACAAATATTGCAGGCTGTGGAGCTTCTCCATTCCCTAGGAAACATTGGCCTACACTAGGGGACTGTAGTCCAGTGACCAGGGGCTCAGGGACAGCTAGCCCGAGAAAAGGAGCCCAGGCACTCTATGAAATACGGAGATGTCCCATCTGAGGAAACTGGGCTCTCCTAACAAGAGGTGGGTAGGGGTAGGGTGTGAGGCACAGGGACAGGGGGAGATGACACTTGCTGGGCTCCCGTGTGCCAGCCTCACCACACCATAATGACATGACTGTGAAACTCCAGTCACCTGACCCAGTCACTGGGCCAAGCTGTCAGAACCCAAGGTTCCACTACCTTTCCCAGCCTGGCTCTGAGGGACGCAAGCCTTTGCCCTATGGAAGCCACTATCTCCAATGACTTCACTTCTCTCACGTAGTACGTCTGCAGTGGACTCGCTCTGTCCACCCCAGAGCCTGTTTGTCCCGTGGCTCGGGGATGCAGCTCAACCATTCTGTCTGTCCCCAAGGACAAAAGATGGTGGTGGAAGAAGCGAGGCTGCCCCAAGCCTGGTCCAGTGCCTAGCAAACGGGAGGGGCCTGGCCATCACAGGGTGCTAGGAATGGACCCCACTCCAGGAGGGCACTGGCCAGGGACTTCACAGAATTGTTCTAGGGACAGGGTCTCTCAAGTAAGGGGCGCCTCCCAGGCCCTAGCGAGGAACATCAGCTCACAGGCAGGAAGCAGGCAGCACCAGCCTCTGTCCTACTCACTGGGCATCACCGGGCTTGTAAGTGGGGTAAGGAGCTGTACATTACAAGGATGGCGAGGGCTGGGTTTCACCTATGAAGAAGTAACCTTAAACCCCTTGGCCATGTAGACTGTCACATGCCCTTTACTGAACTTATAATGAGGAGAGAGCTTCTCAAGTTACTTCTTTCTATTTTTGTTTTGTTTTGTTTTGTTTTGTTTTGCTTTGAGATAGGGTCTTGCTATGTAGCCCAGGCTGGCCTTGAACCCTCCATGATCTTCATTCCTCCGCCTCCAAGTGCTGGGATGACAGGCGTGTGCCACCACACCTGGCTAATTTAGTTCTTTTCATTCAGCAAACAGACTGTGAGTCAGGACACACTCTAGTCATTAGAGTGTCCACACTCTGGAAGCTGAGACAAGCAGACACACCCCACGAGTGTGCTGGTGAACACAGACTGATGGCGGGGGAAGGAAGACACCAGAGGGCTCTGAGGAAGGTGAGGTTCCCAGAGAAAGGGAGGAAGGCAGCCAAGGCCACAGGACAGGGAAGCATTTCTGGGCAGCTGAGAAGACAGGCAGGCTGGTCCTGCAGTGCCTTTCACAGGGCCCTGAAATGCGCTTGCTTTCATCATTCTGCAAATCTTCTAAGCATTTCCTAGGTCCTGGGAGGCCTGGTCCTGGTGACTTTTCCCTGTTTTGGCATGTTACACTTTTGAAGCTCCTGCTGGGAGGTCAATTTCAGGCTCCAAATAAGCACATTAAGCTTAGTGTGGTAGTGTATGCTTGTAAGAAGTTCAAGGCCAGCCTGGGCTACATGGTACATTCAAGGGCAACCTGAGACAGGGTCTCAACAGAACAAAACAAAACAAAGCACAGTAAATAAATACCTCATGGACTAAAAAGCTTAGGTCCTTCTCTCTGGGGGAGATGGACTCACCAATACTCTGAAACTCAGTTTGCTTTGGAGATGAGGTTGAGTATCATCGAGCAAGAACAGCTATCTAACCCAGACCCCCAAAGAGCCCAAAATGACCTTGGAAATGACCTTGGAGCTCTCTGACCCCAAACCTAAAAATCACTTTTTTGAGACAAGGTCTTGCTATGTAGCTCAGGCTGGGATTACAGGCATGTGCCACCACGCCCGGCCAAGAATCATTTTAAGGAAACATGACAAAAACTTGGGATAGGAGGAAAAAAAAAAAAATCAGAAAAGTCCCCAAGTACAAATACAAGCACATTTTGGTGCATACCTTCTTGAAGGCCCGCAGCCACTAGAAATCAGAGCACAGTGACACCACGAGAGGCTTTTATTTAACATCACTGGTTATTCACGATATGCAGATGAAAACAACACTGAGATTCCACCTCACCCCACAAAGAATGGCTGCTATTAAGAAATCCAATAACAAATGCTGGCAGAGGTGTGGGGAGAAAGGAACCCTTCTCCATTGTTGGTGGGAGTGCAGACTGGTGCAACCACTGTGGAAGTCAGTATGGAGATACCTCACACAACCAGGGCTAGAGGTCCCATTTGACCCAGCTATTCCCCTGCTGGGTATCTTCACAAAAGAATTAAAAGAATCATCCCACAGTGGTATATGTGCACCCATGTTCATAGCAGCACAGTTTGTAATAGCTAAAGCTTGGAAACAGCCCAAGTGCCCATCAACTGGAAACTGGATAAAGATGATGTGGTTTTTTAATAAAATGGAGTACTACTCAGCCATAAAGAACGAGAAACTAGAGACATTTATAGCTAAATGGATGCAT